TGACGAAATAGTGACCACATGTGACGAAATAGTGCGTGTTTGTGTGTCTATGGCCGCCTGCGCCTCTGTCAGCTGTTTTTTGAGATCTTCCCCACTTCTCTCTAGTGATGAAATAGTGTCCATATTTGACGAAATAGTGTCCACATGTGACGAAATAGTGTCCGTTTGTGTGACTATGGTCGCCTGCGCCTCTGTCAGCTGTGTTTTCAGATCTTTTCCACTTCTCTCCAGTGACGAAATAGTGTGCAGGTGTGTGTTAATGGTATCGTTATGCGTCTCCATAGTCTCCTGCGTCTCTGCCAGCTGTGTGCTTAACCCCTTCCCCTCGTCTCGCAGTATCTCTATAGCACTTACCTGCGCAGATACTGTGGCATGTGCCTCTGCCAGCTGTGTGCACAGACCCCTTTCATGCTCCTCCAACATCTCAATCGCATTCACATGTGTAGCTATATTGTCCATTGCGTCTGCCACCTGCTGCACTATAGCCCCTTCCTGTTGTGCTAGCCTCTCCATAGCCTCCCCGTATGTGGTAGCCGCGTCTTTCGCACGTGCCAGCTCATCGCTCAGTCCCCTCTCCTGTGCTTCCAACCTCTCAATAGTGCACACGTGCGCACGCACACTCTCCCGCGCCTCTGCCAGCTGTCCACTGACCCTCTCGCTCAGGCCTTCCAGTGTGTTGATGGTGGCGGTGTGCTCCACCTCCTTCGCCTGGGCGTCTGCCAGCTCAGAGACCAACCCGTTCTCTCGGTCGGTTAGTTCGGCAATAGTAGCTGCGTGCGTGGCTATGGTCTCTTGGGCCCTGGCGTAGTCCTTGGTAGCCTCTGACGCACCCGCACGCAGGCCGTCCAGCACACCAGTGAGTGTCACCATCTCGTCCCGTGCAGTGGCGAGTTCGCTGTCTGTCTGCTCATGTAGCGTTTGGATGTGTTCGTACGCATTCTGCAGCTTTTCGTAGCTACTCTGCAGTTGCTCCTCGCTACTCCGCGATTGATCATAGCTACTCTGCAGCTCCGCGTGCTTATTCTCTAGCTTCTCATTCGTACTCTTTAGCTCCACATTCGTACTCTCTAGCTGCTCATTCGTATTCTCTAGCTGCTCATTCGTACTCTCTAGCTGCTCATTCTTATTCTTCAGCTGCTCATTCGTACCCTCTAGCTGCTCATTCGTACTCTCTAGCTGCTCATTCGTACCCTCTAGCTGCCCATTCGTACTCTTCAGCTGCTCATTCGTACTCTCTAGCTCCTCATTCGTACCCTCTAGCTTCTCATTCGTACTCGTTAGCTGCTCATTCGCACTCTCTAGCTGTTCATTCGTACTCTCTAGCTGCTCATTCGTACCCTCTAGCTGCTCATTCGTACTCTTTAGCTCCTCACTCGTACCCTCTAGCTTCTCATTCGTACTCTTTAACTGCTCATTCGTACTCTCTAGCTGCGCAGTCGTACTCTTTAGCTGCTCATTCGTACTCTCTAGCTGCTCATTCGTACCCTCTAGCTGCTCATTCGTACTCTTTAGCTGCTCATTCGTACTCTCTAGCTGCTCATTCGTACCCTCTAGCTGCTCATTCGCACTCTTTAGTTGTTCATTCGTACTCTCTAGCTGCTCATTCGTCCCCTGCAGCACTGCCACGGCCTCCTCCGCCTCTCTCAGCTGCGCTTCCAGATCGCTCATGCCCTGCGCTTTACTGTCCACTATCTCCTCCAACGCACTCACCTTTTCTCGTAGCACATCCCCCCTGTCCTCACTCTCAGCCACCTCCGCACACTTCACCTGTAGCTCCGTTTGCACCCCCTCAACCTTAGCCACACACTCCGCCAGTCTCGCGCCACACAGCGCGTGCTTCGTCTCCATACTACACAGCTCCTGCGCCTTCTCCGTCAGCGCTGTACGCCCCTCCTCCACACGCTCTCGCGCGCGCTCTAACTCTTTCACAAGCGCCGTTTCCCGCGTCTTGGCCAGCGCCAGCGTATCCTCACAGCCCTGCACCTGTTTTTCCAGCGCGTCCACGCGGTCCTCTGCCCTGTCCCGTTCACACTCACTCTGGTGCGCCCGCGTCTCGCACGCAGCCAGAGCCTTCTGCAGCGTGTCACACTTCGCCTGTGTGTCACACGCCAGCTGCTCACTGTTGCCTAGCAACGCCTCCAGTGTAGCCAGCTGCCGCTCACTGGTGTGTGCACCCTCCTTCTCCTCCGCCAGTTTGCGCTGAGCTGTGTCCAATTCGTGTTGTAACTCCTCGTGTCTACCTACCAACACCGCCACGTCCTGCTCGCGATCGCTCAGCGTCTGTTCCATGGCGTCGCTGCGAATACGCTCGTGGTCTCTCTCGCGCGCACATGTGGCCTCGGCTTCTCTAGCCTGCGACAGTTCGGTACTCAGCGTGTCACGCGCGGTTCCCAGCGCATGCACAGCGTTATCGTGGTGTGTGATCATGTCCTCGAGATTGGTCACCCGCCTGACCTCGGTGTCCCGTTCATACTCCATCTGCGCCTCTCTCTGGGCCGCTAAGTCCCGCTCCTGCTCCATAGTGGACAAATAACCAGTAAGAGTCTCCACCTTGGTCAACAGCAGTCCTGCAGGCCGCGCGTAGTGGTTGCGCAGGTCGAACAGCCCCTTCAGCAGACGCCCGTGCCCCGTTGCCATGGCAACGGCGGAGTCGTGCGTCATCTGTTGCTGTATATTTGTCCACACCTGGGCTGTCTGGACCTCTCTCTCTTGTAATGAGGTGATGGTGGCGTGTAAGTGTTTCACCCGGCTGTTCGACTGTTGTGCTGTTGTTTTGAGCTCTGCGCGTAGATCGTCGCACTGCGTCCGCCAGAAGAGAAGTTCGGTCTCTCTGTTCTGATTCTGTTGAGATGGTGAGAGGCAATGCAGAAGTGTACCAGGATTTAAAGGCAGGAGACAAGAACATTAGCGATGGAGTGTATATAAACAATAGACAAGAACATTAACGCTAGTGTATATAAGGAATAGTAAGAGTGAATGCACCTTCTGTTCAAAGCAGTACAGCAGAATAGTAGCACTATAGTGTATACAGTCAAGACTATATGCTAAGACAAAGACTTACCTCTAGATCAGAAGCACCAGACATGCCAGCAGCGATTCTCTGTAGAGATTATAAGGATTATAAGGGACAGGGGCGTGCCGAATGTGTCAGTTTATAACTACAAGCTCAGTAGGTTGTGATAACATATACACTAGTGACCACATACGGATGTGCCGTGCACATTCATTTTTAGTGACATCATAAGAATTAATGTATGCGGAAGTGGGTTAGATTGGGGTAACGCTAGAGAACGTTAGGGGACGTTTCTTTCACCGAGCATTGACCCTTATAATATACTATATGTTAGGTAATGAATGAAAATATTTTTA